GTCCCGCCTGCTGAAAGAGCACCAGGCCAAGCAGAAGGAGCACAAGGAGCTGCAGGGGAAGAGGAGGCAAGAGGCTATTTACTGCCGCAACCTGCCGGACAGAAGCTTTGGTGGATCACCTCAATGTGGGGTAGGAACCCCTTCCCCTGAAGTTTAAGACCAAGCCCTCGATTGCTTGTCAGATGGGGACACTGGCCCTGATGATCACCCCCAACTCGTTGGGTGGGGTGACCGCCCCCCTTCTCCAAACTCTAGTGTGGCCCAAGCCTACATGAACCAGAGGAAGTTGGACCATGAGCTGAAAACCCTGCAGGTCCAGGCCGCCCAGTTTGCTAAGCAGACTGGCCAGGGGATCGGAATGGTGGAGAACTTCAATCAGGCACTCAAGGAAATCGGGGATGTGGAGAACGGGGCTCGGAGCATCGAGCTGGACATGCGCACCGTCGCCACTGCCCCGGAACACCTCTACAAAGGGCAGCTGCAGCCTGCCCCCTACTAGTCCCTCTTCCCTTCCTCTACCTGCCCCCGCCCCACCTCACCCACCCCCTGGGCCGGCGGATGCAGCCCTAACAGGACCACAAATAAAACACAGTGCTCAAAAAAAAAGAACCACGATCAGAGTTCAAATATTATCTCTACCTACATGATCCTGGGCAAGTTGCTAAACTTTTGGTGTTTCCAGTTTCTAAGTCTATAAATTGGGACAAGTACCTAGAAAAAGGGACTAAATAACTACTTGCTCAGCTCAGTGTTTGGCACATCGCATTACATAGGATTAGGTAAATACTGAAGGTGTCCTGTACTGGGGAAGACACTTGCTTCACTTGCATTATTTCTTTTTCTCACTTAACTCTATTTTACACAAAGGACATTGAGGTGTGTAGTGGCTAAGTAATTACCAAAGAAAACTTGCACTGCCACGGAGTAGATTCTAACTCAAAGCGACCCTACGGGACAGGGTAAAACTGCCCTGTGGGTTTCTGAGGCTGTACCTCTTCTGGGGAGCAGAGTTTCATCTTTTTCCCATGGAGGGATTGATGGGTTTGAACTGCTGTTCTTGCATAACCTACTCCACCCCCAGGCCTCTGTAGCTAAGTGATTAGCCATTAGCAAAAATGCTACAAAGTGGAAGGGTCAATATTCAAACCAAGCTTTGATAAATACGCCAATGTTTCCGTAAACCAGGCTCCCTGGATATACTTGTGAGGATTCATAAATTTTAACTGATGGCTTTTCAATTCTAAATTTCTCTAGAGATAATTTTCAAATGAAAGGTACTTTCATAGCATAGGTTTTAATCATCAAGCAAGATTTATGCAAGCCACTGGGTTCCCAGGAATATTTTTATAAAGGTAACCAACTTTTTATCCTCAAACAGTAGTTATAACTGAGAAACTTCAGGCATAGCCTTGTTTTCAAGCTCCAAGAGTGACAGATATTATTTTTCAGGAAACCTTATCCCTATTTTAATTTCAGATACCAAGCTCTGGATCATTTGGCTAGTCTACTTCCCCTAAAAAGCTGTTTTGTTTTTTTCTTTTTAAATTAAAAATTTGGGGAGGGAAATGCCACATTAAAAAAAAAAACTTTATCTTGGTTTAAATACAAACACAAGAATAGCGCCCCCCCCCAGGAAAACCGAAAACTATGTAGTTATCTACTGTTCCTTTAGTAAACAGCACTCACGCCAAGCCCTGACCCACCCAGAGGTTCCCAAACTTATCGGCCTACCAAATAAGTAGCATGAAACAAAAAGCCCCAAATAAATCCATCTCTTCTATCACCAACAAGATCGCATATTAACAAGCCTGACTGCTGTCAATAGCATCACCAGCCTCAGTCAGCCAGACTAATAATCACAGAATCTTTGACTCTTACCTTTCTTCTCTATAGTCAGTGATGGAGAATTGTATTTCTTCCATCAAATGGCTTCTCTTACTCACAGAACCTACTGTATCCCAGTACTGTATCAGCCTCCTACAGGTTCTCATTGCCTCACACCTTCCCCTCCAACTCGGTCACTCTATTATCTCTACCACCACATGTTTCTCCTACTCATGTGATCATGTAGTACTTGCCTGAGCCGCCCTGATAATGCAATGGTTAAGCAGCTCTGGCAAAAAGTTGGCAGTTCAAGCACACCTAGTGGCTCCAGAGGAGCTGGCAGTCTGCTCCTGTAAAAATTACAGTCTAGAACACTGATGGGGGCATTTCTGCCACATGAGGTAGCTACAAGTTCAAAATCAACTCCAGGGAACAGCCAAGTTCCTAATTAAAAACTCCCATGGAGTTCCATCAGTCTACCTATAGAATAAACTCTACAACTGAAATCATGGACTTTTCCCTCATTCAGCACTGTGCCTCTCACAGTCAGTTCTTCCCTTTTATGAAAACGTGGTACTTATCACATAATATGTTTCTTAACTGTTTCATGTGACTGTTACTAATGGAGAAGTTTATGGATTTCTTTTATAACCTTACCAATACTTAAATATTAAGTAAGATACTAATGAACCAATTGCTGAGATAGATGATGAAATAATGAATGCTTACGGGGGTCCGCCCCAACCCCAACTACGTGGACAGCCGCCCATCCCCCCAGAAAGATTTACTTCAGAGAACGGCACTGAAGTTACAGCTTGGGGAGAGGGACATATCTGATCAGAGCACACAGGAATAAATGAAGGGAGAGGAAGAGACAATGGAGCAAATCCTGGACCACCAAGCCTTGAGGACAATATCCCTGCTCAGAGCAGCCAGTGCACAGAGAGGACCACATGGCCAGTACCACTATGAGACACAACACCCCTCATTGACCCATAGCCCTACAGTGCACAACACTGGAGACAC